AAAAGGAGGGAGAATATTTTTGAAATTAAAGAAGATGGGAGGAGAAGAAGAGACTATCCTAAAGAATAAGATAAAAGCAAAGATAAAATTCCCATTCTTTAGATTTAAACCAAGCAAGCAAAGATACTAGACCTCTTGAGAGGACCAAACTTCAAATGTATTAAGTCTTCACAAAAATTGGACAGAGTAACGGTTGTATACAGGTGAATTCCAGATTACAAACAAAGAATGTAACCATAATAACCAGCACACAAACAAACAAACAACCCAATGTCTTGAGGTAAATCTCAAGAACTCCAGACAAAATATCAATTAAGGTCACAAGGTCTCCAACATAGGCCAAGGTTTCTAATCCTAAGTCCAAGAAGTCCAATGCTCTATAATGTCAAGGATAGTAACCAAATAGTCCAAGTATCATTAAAGCCTTTTTTATGGTTCATGTTAATTATTAGGTGTCTTAAAAAAAGAAAAGCTCAAGTGAGCAAAATAAAAATGACAAGAAAGTAAATGCTCAAGTGAGCAAAGATGAAAAATAGCATGAAATGTAAATGCTAAAAGTAAATGGTGCATAAGATAAAAGTGCATAAAATAAAATCACAAAATAAAGTCAATTATTAGTGGTTAGTTGGACGACCATCTTGAAACTTGCATTTGGAACTCATTAGAGGATTGGTAGAACCAAAGCCTCCACACAACAAGTTGCATTTACTTTTTGTCAAGTATATCATCCATTTTCGAATCCTCAAAAGTACCATTTAATGATCAACAATGTTTAAGTGATCCGCGTTGACCAAAAGTGTTATAGATCCATTAGAGGATTGGTAGAATCAAAGCCTCCACACAATGAATCTCAAGGTTATTGGATCAAAGAGATCAAATTAACATACTTGGGCTTGCAAACTTAGGTTTGGGCCACGAATGATCATTTATTCGAATCGGACAAAATTTAGCACTATGTTAAGCCATCGTAAGTGGACTTATGTAGAAGTCGCACCTATTTTGAGGCCAGTCAATAGCAATCTATGCACCATTTATTTTGAGACATGATATAGAGATCATGCTCCAATAACACTTAGTGTAATAAGAAAGGGATAAGATGAAGAGGGGTGAGAAATAATATACAAACCACATTTGAATTAAAATTTAATCAAACTATTATTAAAATCATTCATCCGTTTTTATAGAGTTAGACTCAACACGATGGATCCAATGATGTTAATAAAGTTCATGATAAAAAATTCAACCAAAGATCAGCCAGAAAATAATCACAAAATAATATTGCATTTAATATATACATTAATAGGTTTTTTTAAAATGTTTTAAAATATAAATAAAAGAGAAAAATATCAACTATGTTCAAATTAATCAAGAAATATTAAGTAAGACCATAGAAAAATCAGAAAAGGACTCAAATATTTTTATAAAATTTTTGGTAATATTTTAAAGTCAGGAACTATTTTAAAAATTAAAAAAATGAGTTAAATAAACCAAAAATGATAAAAAATAACAAAGTCAGAAATAAAAAAATAAATGAGGTCATCAATATTTGTCACAATATCATTGGATCATTTCATATTTTTTTTCAGAATTTAAAAAATGCATAAAAGTATTTTTAAACATTTAAAACAATTCAAATAAAGTGAAAATTTATAAAAAATATCAAAACACAAAATAAAATTGTAAAAAAGTAAAAATCAGAAAGAGAAAAATCCAAAATATTTTTCATAATTTTTTCATATTTTTGGACTTAAAATGAATTTTCTATGATTTTTTGAAGTTTAAAACAATTAAAATGAAAATCAGAAAATAAAATATCAAACCAAAAAAATATGGGTCATCTGATCATTGTCAAAACGTGTTAGTAAACAGATCAAGTGGACCTGGTGCATTGTGCATGTTATGGACTTTAGTGAATAAAGCACTGAATCAAATGTAAAAATCAGATTTTCAAAAAATGCAAATGGCACACCATCATTGGTTGGAAGATGACACGTTGATCATCTTCAACCTCCAGCCAACATGAAATTTAGGTCTCTAAAACTATAAAATCAGAAGCTCAAACCTATTACATTTGTTTCGTCTCATCAAGACGAAGACAACCAAACCTTCACGAAAAATTTATATAAATTGTAGCTCAAGCAAATTGGAAGAGAAGTTTTGAAAAGGGATTTGAAAATTCATGGCCAAAACGTGTTTCCAGATAAAAGCAAGTGTTGCAACTAGAACCAGGACAATGAGAGCTTCACAATGATATCAAAGTTTGGAAGAATTGATGGAGATATCTACCTATTGAAGTTGAGTTGCAGAACTCTGAAACTGGACTTCTATGGATCAATATAGGTCACGATTCTTGAAGGTAATTGTATGGTTAGCTTCAGGGAATATCAAGGAAGGTGAATTGATAGAAAAATTGGATTGAAAAAGGCTTTAACACTGATTTCGAAGTTGTAGAAAAGTAAGTTATGAAATGAGTTTGGCAGAGTGACTTTGGTTGTTCAAGCTTGAGGAAATGAATGGGGGATAACCCTCTATTTATAGGGAATCAAATGGAATGTTCAAGCGTGTGAAATGATGAAGTTTGGAGGGAAATCGTGTGAAGTTGCAAACGAGAAAAGTGTGACTTCTATTTTGATCAAAATTCATCCAAAACACGCGTTTTGCTATGCTAATCACTTCTGGAAGTTCACTAAACATGTTTAGAAGCAAAAACACCCAGAAAAAATGTGTTTAGAAGCTAAATCAACGATTTCACATTCTGACTTTTGAAGAAACTTCAGTTTCAAGTTACCAAGTTCAAATAAATGGCATTCTCAGCTCAAGGGGTCTTAGGGCATGATTCTTGAAGCTTTAGAAATATGATATTACAAGCTCCACAATGGGAAAAGAATGGAATCAAATGGATGTTTGAGCTGAAAGTTGCAATGAGTCAAAGTTTGGAAAAAGAAGTTGACTTTCCACACTTAGAAATATTTCAAGTTTTTCTTCAAAAGTGACCTATAATATTTTGCATCCAAACATGGCCATCCACTTGGAATTTGTTCTTTACTAAAAAATATGGCATGAATTAGATATCTTGAATGTAATTTTGAGACTTGAACCATTCAAAATCTACAAAATTTGAGAGAGTTATGAATTTTTGAAGTTGGCAAAAAATCATAAAATGACCTATAATCTTTTGTATCCTTAGGGAATCTTCCATCCATTTTCTCACTTTGAACATAAAATAAGGAATAAAGTTCACATCCTCAAGATAATTATGGAAAAAGAGTGGGATCAAGGTGATAAAAATTGACCAAGTTATGATCATTTGAAGTCACACATGGGAAATTGGGGGTTCATCTGGAGGTCTTGTAATCTTTCTTCATCATCAAGTTTCTTCCACATGAAAACTCCTTGAAACTTTTGAAGTGATTTGTTAATAACCCTTTGAAGAGAAGGATGTATTTGGAATTACTCAAAAATATCAAAAGATGATCAAGATATACTTCTTTGAAGTTCAAAACCCTAGCTCCTAGATTAAGAAAATGCTTTGAGGAACTTTGACAATTTTAAACAACCTTCTTATACCAACACTCTTGCTTTGTAGATAGAAGTTGTTGAGGATGATAATGAGAACTCATAGCAACCAAAACCACTTCCATATCTTGAGAATTCATAGAAATATGCACTTGTGTCTAATGGGAACAAGGCCTTATTCAACCATGACAACTTCTTTAATCAACCCCTTGTACTTTTGAATCAATATTGATAACTTTAAAGTGTGGTGAATCAAAATGAACTTTGCCATTCAATTTCTTCCAAAACAACTTCAATGGTGAGGTTTGAATTTCTCAAGCTTTATTGACTAGGGCATGGAAATAAACTCATGAACCCAGGGATCATCTTGCTAAGCCACATTGCCTTTACCTACATTATTAACAAGCTTTAGATTGTAATAATAAAGGAATGCGAATTAGTGTCAAAGTATTTTTTTCATATATATATATATATATATATCTGTTAAAATTAGGTGTCATAGTGACACCAAATCATATCTTTTCATTTTTATAATCTTAAGGGTAAAGTTTATTCATTTATTTTTGAATTTGTTCTATTTAATCAACATATTTCATTTATTTTTTTTAACATTAAATACAACTCTTTTTAAAAATTTCTCTCCTTCTTTTTCTTTCTATAAATTTATAGTTTTAATTTATATTAAAATTTTACTATTTCAATAATTATAAGTTTATGTTTTAAACAATATGATTGAAATTTTCATTATTAAGTGACATTTTTACTTGATTTTCGTATTTATAATATATAAAGAGAATTATTTTTATAAGACAAAATATTAGAGAAATTTTTATCAAAAAATCCAGGTAAATAATTATTGACAGCCGATTGACATAATAATAATAATAATAATAATAATAATAATAATAATAATAATAATAATATTTATTTAAATAATAATAGACCATAATATAAATTAAAGATTTCACTTTGAAAAACAAATCATTTAATATTGAAAAAGAAAATAAATTACATTGATTAGATAGGACAAAATCAAAACTAAATAAATAATTAAGAACATTAGATTTATAAATATGAACGGATAAGGTTTAATGTCAAATTGAAAATATATATTTAAATTAATGGTTATATCGAGTATATGAATTAAGTATCATAATTTCCAATATTTTCATTCTACCCACCAAATAAAATATATTTTTCGTTAAAGAAAAACCATATTTACATAAAAAAGTACATATATAAAATATATAAATTTTTTAATCCATTTGATTAAATACACTTTTGAAAATATTTTTTAATATTATTTATGAAATAAGACATAAAATAAGGAAAATATTAAAATTAATTTATTTCTTTTATTTTTAAGTATATTTTTTAACTTATATAAATCATTCCACTAGTATATATAAAGAAGAGTGTAAGTCCTAAATCTCACATGAAAAAATACAATGGCCTCCGTGTTATTCAATCGATCCTATTTTTTCATGATTTTGTTCATTTCTATGGTCATGCTTTCAGGTAATAAGTAAGAGTTCATTTTATCTCTCAATTATATACTTCATATACAATCAACATACTCAAATATATTTATGAACACAAGATATATATTTAAGTTTTTTGTTGTTGTAGGTTTATCAAATGGTGAGTATAGTCTTATGGATATAAAATGTCATGATGGTAACTGCGCAATTTATGGAGAATGCAATACTGTTTGTATTAAAAATGGATTTAAGAAAGGTGGTACCTGTCGATTAATTTTTCCTAAATATTTGAAGTGTTGTTGTACTGTAGGATGATCTATTTTTTCTTTTTTTAAAAATAAATGAATAAAAGGCATATCTAATATGTAATTTTAATTATGATTTGGTCATAGTCATAGAATAATATATGTTTATTAATGTCATTGTCATGGTTTATAAAAATAAAGGGATGCTATTTAATTTCAAAGTAATGAATAAAAAACATATTCGATAGGTTTTGTTAGATATATCTATTATTATTATTATTATTATTTTTATTATTTTTATTATTATTATTATTATTATTATTATTATTATTATTATTATTATTATTATTATTATTATTATTATTATTATTATTATTATTATTATTATTAACGTAAGTATTATAATGGAACATATTTTATAAGAAAAATTTGAAAATAATTGTCTAATATAACTAGTTTATTAAGATATTTATATTGCACAGAAATAAGAGAAGGTCAAATATTATCTTAAATTTCTTTTAAAAAATATAATTTCTTAATTAAGTTTTATTATTATTAGTTTAAATATTATTTTTATTATAAATATTATTTCAATTGTGGGTTAATAAATTTTTTCTCGTTGTTGAATATTTTATCTTTTGTAAATAATATTTGTTTAATATCATACAAGTAAAAAAGTAAATTTATAATGAAAATTTAAATAAATTTGTTTTAACACATTAACTAATAATTATGAAATTAATAGAAAATTTCGAAAGAGATTTGTCTGTATTATTAAAAAAAGAAAATTATTTAATAATTAAATAGAACAAACTCAAGTTAAACGAATAAATGTGGACCTTTAGTCCGAATCTGTTAAAACTAGGTGACATAGTTTACTTTGACACCAAGTCGCATCTTTTCATTTTTATAATCTTAAGGGTGTGTTTGTTTCAAAGTTACAACAAATATTTCTCGGAATATGACTATGGAAATGTAATATTCCAATGTTTGATTCAAATTTTATAAAATTATTCCATGAAACTTTTTATTCCCCGAAATATTATTTACACATGATTTTTCTATTCTTATTTCAAGGTATAAAGGGTGGGAATTCAAGATTCCGATGATAAGTTTAACTACCTATAACTTCTCATTTCTACTCATTATTTTTAGTTTTATAATTTTTAAATTAAATTAATTTGTGAACAGCCCTAGAAATTTTAACTTTTGTCCAAACACATAATTAGGAATATTATTCCTAGAAACAATAATGCCTGAAATATAACTCCAAGAAATATAATTTTATAATTTAAAACAAACACCTCCTAAGGATAACGTTTATTCATTTATTTATTTTTGAATTTGTTCTATTTAATCAACATATTTTATTTATTTTTTTAATATTAAATACAACTCTTTTTAAAATTCTCTCTCTTTCTCTTACTTTCTATTTCTTTCGGTTTTGAAAGAGTTTTAGTTTATATTAAAATTTTACTATTTCAATAATTATAAGTTTATGTTTTAAACAGTATGATTGAAATTTTCATTATTAAGTGAAATTTTTATTTAATTTTGATATTTATAATATATAAAGAGAATTTTTTTTATAAGTTAAAAATATTCGATAAATTTTTATAAAAAAATCCAAGTAAATAGTTATTGACAACCGATTGACATAATTTTAATAATAATAATAATAATAATAATAATAATAATAATAATAATAATAATAATAATAATAATAATAATAATAATTTAAATAATAATAGACCATAATATAAATTAAAGATTTCACTTTGAAAAACAAATCATTTAATATTGAAAAAGGAAATAAATTACATTGATGAGATAGCACAAAATCAAAACTAAATAAATAATTAAGAACATTAGATTTATAAAAATGAACGGGATAAGGTTTAATGTCAAATTGAAAATATATATTTAAATTAATTTTTATATAGAGTATATGAATTAAGTATCATAATTTTCAATTTTTTCATTCTACCCACCAAATAAAATATATTTTTCATTAAAGAAAAAACATAATTACATAAAAAAGTAGATATATATATACTTTGAATCTGTTAAAATTAGGTGTCATAATGACACCAAATCATATCTTTTCATTTTTATAATCTTAAGGGTAAAGTTTATTCATTTATTTTTGAATTTGTTCTATTTAATCAACATATTTTATTTATTTTTTTTTAACATTAAATACAACTCTTTTTAAAAATTTCTCTCCTTCTTTTTCTTTCTATAAATTTATAGTTTTAATTTATATTAAAATTTTACTATTTCAATAATTATAAGTTTATGTTTTAAACAATATGATTGAAATTTTCATTATTAAGTGACATTTTTACTTGATTTTCGTATTTATAATATATAAAGAGAATTATTTTTATAAGACAAAATATTCGACAAATTTTTATCAAAAAAACCAGGTATATAATTATTGACAGCCGATTGACATAATAATAATAATAATAATAATAATAATAATAATAATAATAATAATAATAATAATAATAATAATATTTGTTTAAATAATAATAGACCATATTATAAATTAAAGATTTCACTTTGAAAAACAAATCATTTAATATTGAAAAAGAAAATAAATTACATTGATTAGATAGGACAAATCAAAACTAAATAAATAATTAAGAACATTAGATTTATAAATATGAACGGATAAGGTTTAATGTCAAATTGAAAATATATATTTAAATTAATCGTTATATCGAGTATATGAGTTAAGGGATGGTGTTAGAATTTATTTAGATTTAATTAGATATTAATTTATATTTAGAAATATCTTTTAGATGGTTTATATCTTTGTTAGAAGATATAAATATTAGATCTTCTTATATCTTTGTAGAAAATATTTTTAGATTTAATTTGTGTGTATAAATAGCCTAGTGGAGTAGGTTATTGTAATTCATTGTAAATCCCTATTTTTAAAGCTATCAGTAAATATTTCTTTTGTCTTTTATCTTTCTTGTGCTCCAACAAAATATACTTATGAACACAAGATATATATATATATATATATATATATATATATATATATATATATATATATATATATATATATATATATATATATATATATATATATATATATATATATATGTGTGTATTTTTGTTGTTGTAGATTTATCAAGTGGTGAGTATAGTCTTATGGATATAAAATGTCTTGATGGTAATTGCACAATTTATGGAGAATGCAATACTGTTTGCATTAAAAATGAATTTAAGAAAGGTGGTGCCTGCCGAATAATTTTTGCTAAATATTTGAAGTGTTGTTGTATTATAGGATGATCTATTTTTTCTTTTTAAAAAAATAAATGAATAAAAGGCATGTCTAATATGTAATTTTAATTATGATTTGGTCGTAGTCATAGAATAATGTATGTTTATTAATGTCATTTTCATGGTTTATAAAAATGAAGCGATGCTATTTAATGTCAAAGTAATGAATAAAAAACATACTCGATAGATTTTGTTAAATATATTTATTATTATTATTATTATTAATATTATTATTATTATTATTATTATTATTATTATTATTATTATTATTATTATTATTATTATTATTATTATTATTATTATTATTATTATTATTATTATTATTATTATTATTATTATTAACGTGAGTATTACAATGGAATATATTTTATAAGAGAAATTGAAAATAATTGTCTAATATAACTAGTTTATTAAGATATTTATATGCACATAAATAAGAGAGGGGTTCAAATATTAACTTAAATTTATTCAAAAAAATATAATTTCTTTATGAAATTTTTATTATTATTAGTTTAAATATTATTATCATTATAAATATCATTTCAATTGTGGGTTAATAAATTTTTTCTCGTTGTTGAATATTTTATCTTTTGTAATAATATTAGTTTTATATCATACAAGTAAAAAAGTAAATTTATAATGAAAATTTAAATAATTTTGTTTTAATGCATGAACTAATAATTATAAAATTAATAAAATTGTTCAAAAGAGATTTGTATGTATAATTAAAAAAAAGGAAAAATATTTAATAATTAAATAGAACAAAATCAAGTTAAATGAATAAATGCGGACCTTTGATTGTAATAATGAAGGAATGCGAATTAGTATCAAATATTTTTTCATATATATATATATATATATATAATATATATATATATATATATATATATATATATATATATATATATATATATATATATATATACTTTGAATCTGTTAAAATTAGGTGTCATAATGACACCAAATCATATCTTTTCATTTTTATAATCTTAAGGGTAAAGTTTATTAATTTATTTTTGAATTTGTTCTATTTAATCAACATATTTTATTTTATTTTTTAACATTAAATACAACTCTTTTTAAAAATTTCTCTCCTTTCTTTTTCTTTCTATAAATTTATAGTTTTAATTTATATTAAAATTTTACTATTTCAATAATTATAAGTTTATGTTTTAAACAATATGATTGAAATTTTCATTATTAAGTGACATTTTTACTTGATTTTCGTATTTATAATATTTAAAGAGAATTATTTTTATAAGACAAAATATTCGACAAAATTTTATCAAAAAAACCAGGTATATAATTATTGACAGCCGATTGACATAATAATAATAATAATAATAATAATAATAATAATAGTAATAATAATAATAATAATAATAATAATAATAATAATAATAATAATAATAATATAATATTTATTTAAATAATAATAGACCATAATATAAAATTAAAGATTTCACTTTGAAAACAAATCATTTAATATTGAAAAAGAAAAATAAATTACATTGATTAGATAGGACAAAATCAAAACTAAATAAATAATTAAGAACATTAGATTTATAAATATGAACGGATAAGGTTTAATGTCAAATTGAAAATATATATTTAAATTAATCGTTATATCGAGTATATGAGTTAAGGGATGGTGTTAGAATTTATTTAGATTTAATTAGATATTAATTTATATTTAGAAATATCTTTTAGATGGTTTATATCTTTGTTAGAAGATATAAATATTAGATCTTCTTATATCTTTGTAGAAAA